CTTAGTGACAGAGCTGTGGAGAACGACTTCCGCTGGTCTGACGGGCACTCCCTGGTGAGCCTGGAGCCAGGCACCAGCTTTTCGGGGTGGTGGGAAGGACCCGATGGCCTCCATGGGTTGGGCATTGAGTGGAGGCAACCTTAAACTTTGTAGGGCTCATGGCTTTTCCAACCCTCTAGAAAAACTGGTTGACATCACAACAGAAATAACTGGTGCGGGGCAGTGCTGGCACCCATGGGCTCTGCTGGAGAGATGTGGAAGAGGTGGAGTGAGCATGAGGGACGGAGCAGGAGAGACCAGGGCCCAACCTTGTCTGAAGGACTGTCCTCTCTTGGCAGCAATACGAGAACTGGCGGCCCAACCAACCCGATAACTTCTTTTCGGCGGGCGAGGACTGTGTTGTGATGATCTGGCACGAGAAAGGCGAATGGAACGATGTTCCCTGCAACTATCACCTCCCTTTCACCTGCAAGAAAGGAACAGGTCAGCACCCTGTGCCGTACTGGCAAGGATGAGGGACTCAGTATGTGGCTGTGGGTCTGGAGCAGAGTGCCCAGTGCCCAGGAATGTGGGTTTTGTTACTGCCAGGGGTGATCAAAGAGATGGAAGGATTTAGAAACAGAAGTTAGCCAAAGGTCTAGGAGAAAGTTTCTCAAGGACTTGAAACTAAATAGGACAAGACATTAAGATTCAACACCCCCAGGCAGAGTCCTACCCTGGCTGCAGCATCACTCCCACACACCAGCTCTGTGCCCTCCTGCAGACACAGGCAGCTGTTGTGATGCCCAGCTCTCACAGCTTCTTCAGGAGGCAGGAGTGGAGCACTGAGGCAAACCTCTGCTTAATTTCAAATCACAGAATTTCCATATCTCCCTGCCCCTAAGCCTTGTGGACAGAGGCCATCTCAAAGGGAGTTAAGGTTTCATTCGTGGAAGAGCGACGAGGCTTTGCCCACCCAGCCTGCCCTGGGTGTGAGCTGCCTGCTCAGCCAGGCTGGTGCTCTCTCACTCACTCTCCAGTCTCTGCCTGTAAGAACCATGTCTGGACAGGCTGTTTGGGTCCAATCCAGCTAGTTATGGACCCCAGCCCGCACGACCTTACATAGACAAAAGCAAAGGATGAGAAGCACTCCTCTCCATGTGGGGACAAACGTTCTCTGTTTTGAGATGTTTTTGTGAAAAACCCACATGGGAAGAGATCTCATGGATCATGGCAGGAGACTTTTATCCTGGGGGAATGGGGGGCTAATGGGATACCAGTAAGGAGGGGCAAGGGGAGGGAGTGACCAGGGAATAGATGACCAGGGAGTAATGGGGACAGGGGTGGGTGAGGAAGAAGCCATGTGATAGTAGAGGTGGAAGAACAAACCATGTGATATAACATAAATTATTCAGTGCAATATAAAGACTACTCTGTGCAAGTCTCTAACAACCCAGTGCAAAACAACAAACAAAATAAACAATTTAGTGCAATACAACCTCTGCCCACCTCCCACAGTGGCCTGCGGGGACCCCCCTGCCGTGGAGAACGCCAGGACCTTCGGCAGGAAGAAGGAGCGCTACGAGATCAATGCCATGGTGCGGTACCAGTGCGAGCCAGGCTTCATCCAGAGGCACGTGCCCACCATCCGCTGCCAGCCCGACGGGCACTGGGAGCAGCCACGGATATCCTGCCTAAACCGTACGTCTGGGCTGGGGCTGGTGCCTCCCTGCAGCTGGAAGGAGCTGGGAATGTGGGGCATTATCACGGGGCAGGATAGCTCTGAGCCAGGCAGAAGGGGACAGCGTGGTTCTCTTGACTTTTTGGGAGTTTCCCCTGGGATGGGGACATGGGAGGTGATGTCTTCTGGGGCAGGTGGGGACCATGGAGGTTGCCTTGCAGGACTGCCCTGGAGGTCCACCAAGGCAGAGTAGGGGCAGCTCCAGAGTCAGGAAAGGACAACAAGGAGCTTAACAATGGCCCAGGCTATTCAGAGAAGGACAAATAAATGGCTTCTGAAAGGGTGATGCAGGTTGTGCCAAAACCTTCTAAAAGGTATTGGCACAACCTGCATCAACAGAGAGAAGAGGATGGGAGAGCTATGGGGCCCCCAAGGCCTTCCCTGGTGTCCCCCTGCCCTGGGAGCAGACAGGAGTCCTGCAGCAGACACAAGCCAAGGCACAGGGCTGGGTTCCTGACTCTCTTTCTGTCAGGCCTCCAGCTGATGGCAGTCAGCCTTCTTCCACTGATGTCCCAGCCCACTCCCAGGCCTGCCTACACCCCTGTCCCATCCCTGATTGCCTGCAGCTTCCCAAGAATTTTGTTGGCCTCAGACAAATCACATCTGTCCAGTGGCCTCCTCGCCAGGTCCTGCTGGGCAATTCCAGATAAGGCAGATTAAGCAATGGTCCCACAGCCAGGGAAAGCTGATACAGGCTTAAGGGACAAACCTCTGCCCAGGGAGGAGATGAAAGGAGGAGGGATGGAGGAGGTGTCCAAGGGCGGCTGCCTGGTGCAGACCAAGACGCTGATTCCTTTGGCTCTGCTGTGGGTCTGGAGAGCTGCAGGCTGTTCCCAGCACGGACTGCCAGAGATCAAGAGATGCTGGCAGTCCTGGTCTGCTCCCAGCCAGCTTTTGCTGCTGCTTCCACCAAAACCCTCCTGCAATTATCACACCAGAGCACGCCAGCTTCCAGGGAGAGTGGCAGCAAAGATCAGGCAGAAACCTTGTCCCTGCCAGCCAGGCCAGGCTGTTTCCCCTCCTGTGCCCTCAGCACATCCCACTGCATGCATATTGGGGTTGGGGATTTAGGGATTGATAGGGCAATGCATGAGATGGGGATGAGAGGACGAGCACAGGGAAGGATGGGACGAGCAGCAGTGGAGATGATGCTCCTGCCCAGGCTCTCTCGGAGCCACAGGCACCTTCTCCCCTGGGTGAGGCAGAGCCGGGGCAGGGCGACAGAAGGGCCGATTGTGCTGTGCGGGCGGGCTGGCGCCCCCGTGTTTTTCCAGGCAGCCGGGGGCCGGAGCGGCCAGCGAGGGACAAGCAGCTTCTCTGTGCCGGCTCCTGCCAACAGGGTGCCTTTTCTTCTCCTCCACAGCCTCCAGCTACCAGCGCAGGCTATACAAGAGGAGCCCCAGGAGCCGGTCGAAACCCAGCGGCAGCGCCGCGCACAGCACCCATTAGAGCGGGGCGAGAGGGGGAAAGCGAGAAAGAGAGATTTTTAACGGATCAGTTATATTAACAGAGTCGATTTCTTCTTCTTCTTGTTGCTTTTTTTGTCATATAAGGAAAAAAAATTATAGTAAAGACAAATCCACCTTTGTGTATATATATAAAAAAAAAAAATTGTTTTTCCAAGCACCAAAGCAAAACGAATTAGATCTCAGCATTCTTACTAACCGTCCGGTTCCAATTATCTTCGTGCCTTTGGGGACAGGGAGGGGGGTGGGTTTGCAAAGGGCAGGGGGTTAAGTTAAATAATAAAGATGATTATTTTTTCCTGATTTTATCCACGAACAATGTAATTATTTCTGTTATTTAATCTCCAGGGTGAACGGCACCTTTTGGGGTTTTATTTTATTTTTTTTTTCCAGAATCCTTTTACTGCTGCAGCACGTCAGGACGGGTGGGGAGGGCCGGGGGGCTGTGGTGGAAGGAGCTGTGGGAGGAGGGAGGTGTGGGGATGCTGAGACCCAGGTGCTGAGACCCCTCTGTGCTTCCCCACTGCCCCCTCTGCAGCACAGCACTCGTCCTGGGACAACGTGCTCTTTCCAGGGGACCGTGCGGGGCACCAGCGTTCCCTGCACCTATTTATATTTTTGAACATATCCTATTTTGAAAGAATGATAAATAATAAAGAAAGCGAAATCGGAACGGGCACTTGCTCAGTGTTGGTTTTTTTTGTAGGGGAGAGGGATGTCGGGTGGGCTGGGAGGAGAGGGGTCTCCCATGGCAAGGCAAAAAGGAAGGAAGGGGAACGCAAAGAGGGTGCTCCAAGGTACACAGGAATGGCTCAGCCCCAGGCAGCACCTAAAGGATCACCTAAAGGTGGGAGGGGTGTCCCAAGCCCTCTCTGAAGAAGGACCCTGGAGCAGGATACTGCCCTCCCTGCTCAGCTCTCAGTTTGGGAGGGGGTTAACCCACATGCCTAAAACCCATCTAAAACCCATGACCAGCAGGAATTGCTTCACCTTGCAGCTTTCAGTCCTGACACCCAGGGGGTTAATTAACACTCACTAATGAGGGAACACGAGGTCCTTGCAGGAGCTGAGCTGAGCCAGCACTAATGAGACGATGCTCAGCCAAGGATGAGACAGCTAGGAACCCCCAAATCCTTTCTCCACAGCAGACCCTTGTGTTGGGACAGAGATGGGGACATAGCCATGTCACTCCAGGGCTTTCTCCACCATTTTATTAGAAGATGTCCAGAAAAACACATCTTTTCATAGCCAATGCTCAGAGAAGAAGGCACCAGAGTTCAAATGGAGTTCAGGCAAGGGGCACATAGAGATAAGGCACTTGTGCTCCAGCAGGGACAGGCACAATGGCATCCTTCAGCAGGACATGGATGGGGCTGGAAGAGGCGCCAGGATGCAATGGAGATTCCTGCTCTCTGCTCTGGCCAAACCCAGCCTTGCCTCTCTCCCTCATGGCCTTGCCTCATGGACTGGGAGGCAGGACCAGCCTGGAAGGGCAGGCGGGTGTCAGTGACAACCTGGCACTGCAGGAAGGGGCCACTACCCATGGGGTGGCACGGCCAAGTGGGGTGGCAGCAGTAGCCCGTGGGGACCATCCCTGCACACATCCCACGACAGGGACTGTCTCACACTGCCCAGCTGGCAGCCACCCCAAACAGCTGTGGGTGCCAGCTGCTGAGCAACATGTGGAAAATATAAAGGAAGGAAACAAAACAAAACAAAACAAAAAGAAACAAAACAAAAAGAAATCTCTCCCCACCCCACCTCCCCCAGTCACCCCCAGAACAGCCCTTGGAAATGCCCACCACTGGGCGCTGGCAGGATGGAAACGTCCTTCATCCAAGAAGGATCCCTCCCGGCTCCTTATCTCTCTCGGTAGCAGAAGACTCCAAACCTGCCCTTTCTGGGGAAGCCGAAGCTGCGGACGCCGGGCTCGGCGGGGCCGCAGTTGGCCCGGGGTGTGACGATGGGGTAGCGCACGCTGCCATCTGCCAGCCAGCCGGCATTGCAGCGGTCCAGCCCCGCCAACTTCCAGGCCGAGTAGAGCTGCCCCACCCGGGCGATCTCGGCCCCGGCATCCTGGCAGCTCTGCTTGGCCTCCTCCAGCGTCATCCCAGCCGGGCGGTCCAGGTAGAAAACCTCTCCTAGGAGGGAGAGCGGAGAGTGAGAGGGGAGCACCATGCCAAGCATCCCCATCTGGAACAACCCCACCCAGGCGAAGTCCTGTGCTCTAAAAGGGAGGGACAGTCCAGGTAGAAAACCTCTCCTAGGAGGGAGAGCAGAGCGTGAGAGGGGAGCATCATCCCGAGCATCCCCATCTGGAATGCCAGGCCCTAACAGGGAGGGACACACAGCACCTTCCGAGCACCCCAGCCCCCTCCCCAGCCCAGAACGCACCTTTGAGCGCGGAGGAGAAGCAGAAGGCATCGAAGCGGTGCAGGTGGCGGTGCCGCGGGCCATAGCTGCGGATGCCCGGGGCGAGGTGCACGCCCCCGCAGGGCTTGCGGGGCAGGCGGATGGGGTACTGCACCGTGCCATCGGCCAGCCAGCCCGCGTTGCACCAGTCCAGCCCCTCGCTCCACGCCTGGAAGAGCTGGTTAAAGTTGGCGAGGATGGCACCCTGGTCCTGGCACACTCGCTCGGCTTCGTGGAAGTTGAGCCTGTACTGCCCGCGGGGAGGCTGGTAGGGGAACACGATGCCTGGAGGCAGATGGGACACTCAGCTGGCTCCGCGGGCAGCCCACCCAACCCGAGCCCAGCCCCAGCAGGGGACACAGGGGTCCCTGAGCCGTGTCAAGTTCAGGCCCTGGGACAGGGACCACCTCCGTGTGGCGGAGACAAGGCACAGGCATGCAGGGATGGGGCCGCTTTGGACATGCAGGCACCAGCAGCGAGTTGCCAGCGACATCTGGTGGCACAGGGACACAAGGGCTCGGTCCTGGGGACACAAGGACCCCCTCACGGGGACAGCACCGGCATGTACAGGGATGCACAGACTATAATGGGGATGCAGGGAGCACCACGGGGTTGTGCAGACCACGGTCCTGGGAACAAACAGACAGTGGTCCCAGGGAGGCATGGACCACCCCTGTGGGGATGAAGAGATCGTTGTCATGGAGATGCACAGGCTTCCGCAGCAGGGATACAAGGGTCAGCATCCCCATGATCCCACGGGACACATGGGCCACCAGCATGGGCATGAATGAACCTCTGTTGGGGATGGATGAACAACAGAACCACGGGCATCACCACTTTGGACACAGTCACAAGGACTGGCAGGGACGAGTCACCGTGGGAGGCAGGGCCAGGGACCAAGGGGGTGGGGCAGGGACAAGCAAAGGGGACATTTCCACAGCTCTGAGCTCAAAGCAATGTCAGGGCTGAGTCAGGTCCCTCCTGACAAGTGAGCAAGAGAGGCTGGAGCAGTCACCAAGGATCAGCACAAGATGCAGCGGGATATCCAGAGCTGGGAGGGGAGGGGACAGCTCCACGTAATGCAGCACAGTGGGAAGATGGGTGGGTAAAGGCAGGAAATGCTGCGGCCGTGGGGTCACTCCCAACTCTGACTCCAACAGCACCCAGCAGGCAGCTCTGGGCTCACTCACTCCTGAGGCCAAAGCCACACAGCCCCAAGCCAAGAGCATTCCAGCCTCTTTCTGCTGTGATCAAGCTCCTCAACCCCCCCTGCCTTGCTGTGTCCCCAAAGGAGAAGGTACCACAGGAAGGCCAGGCTCACTGGCTTGGCACAGAGGGTGGTGTGGTCCCCAGCATGCCCCCACCTTGCAGCCGGAGCTCCACAACGTCGCTCTCGTCCTCCAGCCCATCGATGACCGTGCAGCGGAATTTGCCATCGTCCTTCAGGCGCACGTCACTGATGACCAGCGAGGCCCCGTGCCAGCTCTCCTCACCGGCCTGGCGGATGTGGGCACGGCCCTTGAAGTCCCCAAAGGCCACGTAGGTCTTGCCAACGGCCACCATCACATCCTGCTCTTTGGAGTAGTCATCCCGCACCTTGGACCACTTGATGCGGATTTTGTGCTTGGGGCCCTGGTCGGGCTCGTAGCGGTAGCGGCAGGGCAGGGTGACATTGGCACCATTGTAGCTGTAGACAGGGTCTCTGGAGGCTTCCACCACTAGCCTGGATCCACTGAAGTAATCCACTGGGGGGAAGGAGGAAGGTGTGATGGGCATGTCAGGATCCAGGGCTGGGCATCCCCAAACCTTCCCTCCAGCCACCACCTCTTCTACCATGAGAATCCCCAAGTATCCCTGAAGCATTTCCACCCGCTCCTCTCAGCCCCACATCCTACCAAGTGATGGGTCTCCACCCCACCAGAGTCAGGGGGGTACTTCAGCCTCCTGTGACAACCTGCCAGCCCCCATTGTCCCCGATATACCTTTGTCCTGCTCGTCGCTATTGTCATTCATGATGTGGTTGTAGTAGAAGCCGTTGCGGAAGGGGTGGTAGGAGCCACTGGCCAGGTGCAGCAGGGTGGCCTTCAGGAGCAGTGGGAGCAGCAGCATGGCTGGGAAGCAAATTCGGGCTGCAGAGGGGGAAAGGACTGCTGTGATACCCCCAAATAGCCAGGAGAAAGGAGCACTGCCTGGCAGTGGTGCTAACCATACCAGGGGTGTGAGGAGAGGGTGGGAAGAGCCAGCAGAGCAGCTTGCCTGCCCGCAGGGGAGAGTGTAGGCAACCTGAGCCGTGCCCCCAGACCTGTCCCCAGCCGGTGCTCCCAGTCCTCTCCATCCTCATCCTCCCGCCTGGCTCACACCTCCACATTCCCTGCCCATTGTGGGGGTGCCCATTGGGGGGAACACCTGGCCCCAGAGCGAGCTGGGGACGGGGCAGCTGGAGGAATGGGATCCCAGGGTATCCTTTGGGCAGGGAGTACTGGGAAAAGGTCAGGCAGGGGTGCAGGGGGAGAGAAGTGGCTGAGCCCCACTGCAAAGCTGCAAGCTCGGTTTACAGAGGCAGCCGAGCGTGCAGCCTGACCGAGGAGTGGGGGAGAGAGCTCGGGCTGCCTCCGCTGCCCCGGCTCGGGACAAAGCCCCGCAGCACTCACCGTCCTGGCCAAGGACCCCCTGCTCCCTCCCAGGGCTGCCCCTCTGCATCACAGACATGGCCGGCACCGACCCCACGCAACACATTTGGCTGCCGAAGCACGTCCCATCGGTGGGGAGTAGCCTGGCTATCCCACGACACCAGAAATGTGCACTGTCCCGAGTTCTGGGGGCCGGGACACTCAAGGGTGCCCTGCCCGGGGCTCACCCAGGGCGCTACCAGCAGGACTGGCTGCTTGTGAGCATTCCCGGAGCCGGCAGAGGGGGCCCGGCACCCGGCAAGCCTCCGGCAGACCCCTTCCCTCACCGGGGCGGGGGTCTGACATCCGTGCCCTGCTTAGACAAGGCTCACGAGTGCCTGCAAACATACCCCGGGCCAGCGGGCTGGGGGAGAGCAGATGCTCCACCCGGAAGGGTCCAATACGGGGTGCAGTGGTGACCTCCAGGGTCCGGGGTGTAAAACCAGCTGTTCCCCAGCAGCTTGCTCAGTCCCTGACTCTCCCCTGCAGTCAGTGCCTCTGCTCACCCTGGGATGCAGCCGCACTTGCCACCACCCGCTGGTGCCAGCAGCGCCGGTGCCCGAGGGCGCAGGGCGCGGGCACAGCCCGGGAGCTGGCACTGGCGCGGCGCTGCTGGCACCGCGGGGACACCGCGGGGACACGGCGGGGACACGTGCTGCCCACGCGACACAGGGGGGGCTCGAGGCTCGGCAGCTTCACACCTCGCTGTGCAGGGCACAGCCCCGCTCCCCCGGCGCCCCAGTGCCGGGTGACCCCCCAGAACCCAGGGATGTGCAGTGTGCCCAGCGCTCTCAGCTGTGAGCATCGTGCTGCAGCGCCCAGCACGGCGATGCCTGGCACCTACAGCAGTGATGCCCGGCTCCCTGCATGGCAATGCCACCTCCCCTGCCCTTGGCGGCAAGCAGGGTGCCCATCGCCCCGGGTGCCAGCCCTCCCCAGTCCCGGCACTGGGGCCAAGCCCTACTCACGCTGGTTGCGGGCAGGCTGCGGGCAGGCGTGCAGGCAGGCTGCGGGCAGATGCACTGTGTTTAGGGCTCTTGCAAGGCTGAGAGGAAGCAGCTCCAGGGCCTGCCTCTTAAAGGGAAACACACGCCTTTCCCAACCCCCTGCTCGCAGCCCGCAGCTGGGGTGGGTGCCCCCGGCCCCCGCCTGCCCACCATGCCTGGGTGATGGCCTCACCGTGTGTCCTCACACTGCCCACATGCTGCCCACACACCTTATCCACGGTGTGCCAGCTGCCTGCACTGCCCCCGACTTGGAAGGGGCAGCAGTGGGGAGAAACCTGTCCTATTCAGGCTGGTGGGATCCTGTGATGTCCCAAGCAAAGCCCCAGTGCCAGGGAAGAAGAGACATCCCTTGTCCCACATCCCGCTGGAGGGACTGGCCACAGTCTCCAGACAAAGGAGGTGTCCAACACACATGTGGCAGGAGCAGGCACAAGCAGCTCGGGACAGGTGGGCTGTGGTACGGAGTGATCTGTGCCCAGCACCTGCCTGCTCTGGAATTCAGGAGAGACAGAGCTGAGCTGCGGGGTTCAGCCTCTTCAGGGTCTGCTTGATGCTGTGAGGACAAAGCAGAGGTACAGAAACCAGGGCAAAAACTCTTGAGTGCCGAATTGCACCCATAGGTGGGGGCATCATCCCCAAACTTGGGCGATGCCCTCCATGCCAGCTCCCCCTGGCACACAGACACAGCTCCGGGAGGATCGAGTCCTCAGGCAGGACAACACGGCGGCGGCACCGCCAGGGGATGCCGGTCAGGGGACAGACAGAAGGGACAAACAGAGGAACCACGACGCGGCGTGTGCCCTGACCCATCGACCCGCTCTCCCAGCCCAGCGCGCCGCTTCGCCCCCCACTTTGTTGTTTTACGGCGAGGAAATGAGGCGCGGGGGCCCCGGTCCAGCTCTTGCCGCCGTGCAGGATGGCTTCAAGCCGGAAAGAAAACAACCCGTGTAAAAACAAACGGCCCGAGGCTGGCTGGGGGTGAAGGGGGCCGGGAGCCCAGCCCGGAGCGCTCGGGGTGCGATGCTGCCTGCCCGCCGCCGCCGCGCTGATAGCGAGCAGCCAGCAAGGAAACGGCGTTATCAGCAGCCAGCGCCGGCACCACAGCTGCCCCGTGGGAAGCCCCGAGCAGGGATGGCTGCACGACCCTTGGAGGCACTGCTCTTCCTTGTTCTCCTTGTGCCTGCACTCCCCAAGCCCTGCCAGCCCTCCCTGACCAGGGATGGCTGCGGGACACGGGGTCTAGAGGCACTGCTCTTCCTTGTTCTCCTTTTCCCTGCACACCCCCAGCCCTGCCAGCCTTCTCCGACCAGGGATGGATGCGGCACCCAGGGTCTGGAGGCACTGCTCTCCCTTGTTCTCTTTTCCCGGGGTCTGGAGGCACTGCTCTCCCTTGCTCTCCTTTCCCTGCCACCCGCGGCCCTGGCAGCGCTCCCCGAGGCGGGACGCGGCGGAGCCGGGCTGCCCGGACCCGGGAGTGTGACGGCCGGGCGCGCCGCCCGCTCGCCTGCCCGGAGCAGCCTGTCCCGCTGCCCACAATGCAGGCACAATTACACCTTCCGGCATGGGGCCATGCACTGCCTGCATCCTGGCCGAGGGTCGCTGCTGACCCCCAGCCCTGCCACTTGGCCGGAGGAGGTGGTGGGATGGTGTCCCAGCTGCATCCTGGCCGTCAGTGCCCCGCTGCAGCTGCTTGCCCGAGCTGTTCTGGCGATCCAGCATTTGGGATGGTTCCCTCCACCTTCGGGCTGTGCAGAGAACAGACAGCCCTGTTGGGCGGGGCACGCTGCTCCCTGGCATGGCTGTCCCATTGTTCCAGAAGCGAGGAACAAGCCCCACAGTGTCCTGCACTGCCTGCACCACAGTACCTGCCAGCAGCCATCCTCTGCCCGGCCTGAGCAGGGGAGCAGCAGCAGCAGGGAAGGGGACAGGGATGCTTTCTGGCACCTCTTCTCTGCACCAGCTCCTGCCTCACCTTAGACCACTCTTGTCTGGACGTGGTCAGTGATTTCTCCATCTCATCCTAGACAGCAGAGGCATGAGGAAGGATCTGGCCACCAGCAGACCCTGAGGAAGCAGGGATCTCCTTCATTCCTTCCCATTTCTCATCCTCTTTTTGTTTTCTATTCCCAGAGATGTACCTGGGTGTGACCACAGGTTTCAGGTTGAGCAAAGCTGTGCAGGGTCAGGGAAGCTCTGACCTGGGAGCACATGTTTAGGGCACGTGTCTAGGGCTGGCTGAGCATTTGGCTGAATGGGAGCCATAAAAGTGTCATCCCTGTCTTCCCCACCTCAAAGCCAGCGCCTGACAGCTCTGCTGTGGCCTCACCAGAGATCTGTCCATGAAATGCTGCTTGCACAGGATGATTCCTGCAGGAATACTCACATTCCTGGTGGGATGGAGGAGTTTGTGATCTGTGCTGGGCTTTCCGGGTGGTGTGAGAGGATGCTCTCCCCGACAGCTGCTTCCTGAGGATCCAGCTGCCAGCAGCTGGCAGCAGCCAGCAGGGTGCCACAGCCTGCCGGCCATCACAGCCTTCCTGCTGTCCCAGCAACCCAGCCACGGCCGGGAAGAGCATCCAGGGGATAGGGACAAGCCCTGAGGGGCTGTGCATGGCGGGGAGGGCACTCTGGCTCTCCCAATCTCCCCATCCTGCAACTCCAGGGGATGAAGGAAATGCCACAAGGCTGGGAAGGGGCTCAGAATCCATCAGAGGGGCTTGCCTGAGGGGTAGCAATGGGCAGGGGGAGCAGCAGCAGGGGGCTGAGGATGCATCCTCTGCTCTGGTGTGCAGCATCTGCTCCCATCACCCTCCTCATGGAGCCCCTGCCATATCCCTGGCTCACGGCTCTCTTGGCTGGACTCAAAGCGAACTGCTCTTATCTCTGCCTCAGCTTCCCGATGATAAGGGTGGCATGTCTGGAGGTGAACTGGGCAGACTGTCCCCCCTGTCCCTGTCTCTATCTGTGGCTGCTATTTGTCACCAAGCAGCTGCAGCCACAGCCACAATGAAGTCAGCCCAGTCTTTGCAAGCAGATCCCCAGCTCCTCTGATGCCCACGGCTGGCACTCCCAGGGCAAGGCAAGAGCCCACCTCGCATAGGCAAGGCCAAGGAGGAGATGCCTGGCTGAGCAGGGCACTGCTGGCTGCAGGGAGATGCAGAAGATTGCCAGAGCTGCAGGGACAGAGAGCTGTGGTAAGATCTAGATGACACTTGGCTATTCATGCCAATTTCAGGGGTCCCTACCCGGCGTGGCAGATTCTGGACATGAGCAAAGCTCCTCTGTCCTGTTCCCCACAATGTTCCCTACATGGGATCACACCCTCAGTGCAGGCAGATCCTGCTCCAGCAGCATCCATGCCCCAGCCCTCCCCAAGCGGGCTCTGTTGGGAACATCCCCACAGGCAGCTCTTGCAAAATTCACAGCTCCCTCCAGCCCTGGGAGC